GACAGGTGTACAGCGGGTAAAATAAGTATTGAACACCGCCATTTTTCTCAGTAAATATATTTCTAAAGGTGCTGTTGACATGAAATTTTCACCAGATGTCAGTAACAATCCAAGTAATCCATACATACAAAGAAAGCAAAACAAATAATTTCAGAAATTAAGTTCTGTGTAATAAAGTAGAATGACAAAGGGAAAAAGTATTGAACACGTGAAAAAGGGAGGTGTAAAAAGGCATGGAAAGCCAAGACACCAGCTGAAATCTATCAGTAATTAGAAAGCAATCCTGCCCCTTGTCGGTGGAAATTAATATTAACTGGTTCAGTCCCAATTGATGGCCTATAAAAAGGTGTCTCGTGATCAACATGTCACACAAGAAACATTTCATGATGGGTAAAAGCAAAGAGCTTTCTCAAGACCTTCGCAACCTTATTGTTGCAAAACATGCTGATGGCACTGGTTACAGAAGGATTTCTATACTTCTGAATGTTCCAGTGAGCACTGTTGGGGCCATAATCCAGAAATGGAAAGAACAGAATTTCACCATAAACCGGCCATGACCAGGTGCTCCTTGCAAGACTTCTGACAGAGCAATGAAAAAAATTATCAGAAGAGCTGTCCAAGAGCCAAGGATCACTTGTGCAGAGCTTTAGAAAGACCTGGAAAGTTTTCCCCAAATCAGAATAGAATAATTTATAAAGGATCATGTGACACTGAAGACTGGCTGCTAAAAAATTCAACTTTTCCTTAACATGAATAAATTAGATTTTAAAGTATATTAAAATATAAAACTAAAATTCAGTACATGCAGCCTTCACAAATATTAGATTTCTTTCAAAAACATACAAAATCTTACAGACCCCAAACTTTTGAACAGTAATTTATACATACAATTAATGTAGTTAGCTGCGTTTTAATAGCTGTTTTTTAGTGTAGCTAACTAATTTTTCAAAAGAGCAACTGTATAAAAAAGGAACCCTTAGATCATTTTGACTCTTAATCCATAAACTGTGTCAGATATGTAACTCTTAACATAACTTTGTATGGCAGAATCCTATTGAAATCTGAATACTCATGAGTGCAGTATAAGTTGTATTTGGTGACAGGTGTACAGCGGGTAAAATAAGTATTGAACACCGCCATTTTTCTCAGTAAATATATTTCTAAAGGTGCTGTTGACATGAAATTTTCACCAGATGTCAGTAACAATCCAAGTAATCCATACATACAAAGAAAGCAAAACAAATAATTTCAGAAATTAAGTTCTGTGTAATAAAGTAGAATGACAAAGGGAAAAAGTATTGAACACGTGAAAAAGGGAGGTGTAAAAAGGCATGGAAAGCCAAGACACCAGCTGAAATCTATCAGTAATTAGAAAGCAATCCTGCCCCTTGTCGGTGGAAATTAATATTAACTGGTTCAGTCCCAATTGATGGCCTATAAAAAGGTGTCTCGTGATCAACATGTCACACAAGAAACATTTCATGATGGGTAAAAGCAAAGAGCTTTCTCAAGACCTTCGCAACCTTATTGTTGCAAAACATGCTGATGGCACTGGTTACAGAAGGATTTCTATACTTCTGAATGTTCCAGTGAGCACTGTTGGGGCCATAATCCAGAAATGGAAAGAACAGAATTTCACCATAAACCGGCCATGACCAGGTGCTCCTTGCAAGACTTCTGACAGAGCAATGAAAAAAATTATCAGAAGAGCTGTCCAAGAGCCAAGGATCACTTGTGCAGAGCTTTAGAAAGACCTGGAATTAGCATGTACAATTGTTTCAAAGAAAATAATAAGTACAATAAAAAATGCGCTCAACCGCCATGGCCTGTATGCACGCTCACCACGCAAGGTTATATTGCTTATATTGCTTAAGCCTGTTTAAGCTCATTTAAAGTTTGCTGCACAACATTCAGACAAGCCTGTGAAATACTGGGAGAATATAGTCTGGTCAGATAAGACAAAAATTGTACTCTTTGGATGCCATAATGCACACCATGTTTGGAGGTCAAATGGCACTGCACATCACCCCAAAACATACTGGTGTGGCACTGGTAAAATTCATATAATTGATAGAAGGTTGAATGGAAAAATGTACCGAGACATTCTTGATAAAAATCTGCTGCCATCCACCAGGATGATGAAGATGAAATGAGGGTGGACATTCCAGCGAGACAATGATCCCAAACACACAGCCAAGGAAACTCTCATTTGGTTTCAGAGAAAGAAAGTAAAGCTGCTAGAATGGCCCAGCCAATCACCTGACTTGAATCCAATAAAAAATCTATGGAAAGAACTAAAGATTAGAGTTCATTGAAGAGGCCCATGGAACCTTCAAGATTTGAAGACTCTTTGTGTGGAAGAATGGGCCAAAATCACACCTGAGCAATACATACTACTAGTTTCTCCATACAGGAGGTGTCTTGAAGCTGTCATTACCATCAAAGGCTTTTGTACGATGTATTAAAGGGCTAATATGATGCGATTTAAATTTTTCCTTTCTCTTTGATGTTACAAGCTCTTGGTGCATAAAGAAGGTCTGTAAAGTTGCAAAGACTAAAGTCTCAAATCCAAAGAGATATTCTTTATAAAAGTTAAGAGTCAACCACACCTACCTAAAACGGCTCGTTCTAACACGCCCCCACATGTCTACGTCACGATGTGGGAAGATTTGCATAACGCCGCCCAAATGTTCAGGCAAAGAAAGAAGGCATAACTTTTATTCTCGCTGTAGTATTGTTGCTGCCGCCATGTCGTGAAGGCACTGTGTGATTCGTTGTGAAAGCGAAACTACTTTGTTTGGCCTTCTAAAAGAGGACGATATCCGCTTCGTCATGCCTGGAGCTGATCCGTGCTGGTCGCTGAGGAAAAAAACATAAACTTCGCGCTGTGGATCGCCGGATCGGCTTTCACCGTGGACAAAGCGGAGTCCAGCCCGGGGTAATCACATGTGGTTGCCGCAAGCCCGCTGGCCGCTCCTTCGTTGAATCCGCCGGCCGCACCATTCTCAAGCCCGCCGGCCTTGTCTGGCCTTCCAAAAGAGGACACGACTAGAAATCAGTGGTTAAGTTGTATTTACAACACTGTTCCAGAACAGTACAACCCAAATATTCAGATGTGTGCAGCGCATTTTGCGGAGGATGAGGACTGTTTCCTGTGAGAGTAGCCTACAATGCCGGTGTCTGTTTCTATAAAGTGGGGCAGTTCCAGCTTTGCAAGGACAGTCTGGTGCTTCTGACTCACAGCCTGTAACTACATTTTTTATATTTAAAGAATTTGTCACTGATGATTCAAATGCAAGTTTTGAGCAGTGTAGAGTACTTGTTGTTTGTCATTTCTCCAGAAATTATTTTATGTTTACACAGTGCGATACGCAACGCAATGCGTAAAAAGACAGTCAAATCAAAATCATTATAATCAGTAATTATGTCCCCACTGGATGCAACAAATGCCTCGTTTGTAATGGGTTTTATTGTTTTTGTCTTGTCGCTCCGGGACTCACAGTATGGTAAGGGGCGTAACATTTCCGTCACACGCTTGAGCTATTCAGCCAATCACAACGCACTGGATAGCTGGCCAATCAGAGCACACCTCGCTTTTCAGAACGATGAGCTTTGTAAAAATCGACGCATTTCAGAAAAGCGGGGCATAGAGGAGCAACAATAACGTATATTATGTGGAAAATAAAGTTGTTTTTTTTTACCTTAAACCGCATAAACACATTGCATTACACCAAATACACAACAAAACGTTCTTTTTAGCAACGTCATATGACTCCTTTAAATAAATTTCAGTAAGCGTGTTCAATACTTTTTCCCTGGGTCATTCCCTTTTGTTATACAAAACTTAATTTCTGAACTTATTTGTATTGTTTTCTTTGTATGTATGGATTACTTGGGTTGTTACCGACATCTGGTGAAAATTTCATGTCAACAACAGCACCTTTAGAAATATATTTACTGAGAAAAATGGTGATGTGTTCAATACTTATTTTACCCGCTGTACCTGGATGGAGCACTACTTCTTGAGAGATTCAGGCGTACGTATACTTAAGTATTGTTCGAATATGCCTACTTACCTACTGTATAGTAGGTGAAATGGGTACATGAAAAGAGTAGTATGTTCAAAACCACAGTATCCATAAAAGAGTAGGCGAGAGATTACCGGATTGCCTCCGAAGTGCCAATCTAAAGATACTTTTCTATCCCACAATGCCATGGGAGAGGATACGTTAACCAAGAAGAAGAGAGGATGCGTCAACAGCCACAAATCTCTAAGGGTGCTTCTCAATCAGCTCCCTAGCTCCCGAGCTCGTGAATCAGTCGATCGTGTACACGAATTTGGTCACTGGTAAGTTCCCTGACTCACTGCACGTTGGGACAGTGATCACTTGATTTCCAGTGACATGATTACGTACAACATCAACGGACAACATAGTAGAACATCATCACTGGAAATGGAATTAATAAATAACAGGCAGGACCAATCTCATTTTGATATTATTTTTTATTCTCTTTAAACACATCATTCTCTTACATGTTCTTACAACATTTCAGCCGAATATTAATTATACATTTTAATTAGATGTGTTCATTACCTGTCTAGCGATGTGTGTTTATGTTGAAATATACAAAAAAAACGGTCTGTCTTTTCAAATCTTCTATCGCATATATATTTATCGAGTTGACTCGTGTGGTTTATGTTTCACGTTTCAGAAATTCAGAAAAAAAAGCACCGATGCTCCCTAGTTTTTGAGGTGCATTATGGGATTTTTCAGGGAGCGAACGTTCCAGTGCACTGTAAAGATTTCGCGATTGAGACAGCCATTAAAATGGCCGACTCCCTGATCAATGCCCTGACTACTGAACAAGGGAGCTGATTGAGACACACTCATTTCGCGATTGAGACAGCCCTTAAAATGGCCGACTCCCTGATCAATGCCCTGACTACTGAACAAGGGAGCTGATTGAGACACACTCGAAGAAGAAGAAGAAGAAGAAGTAGAGGAAGAGGAAGAGGATACGTCATAATCGAACATGGAAGAGAAGAACGATGATGTTTTCAAATGTGAGTATTAAAAAACAAAAACATGGTTTCTTGTGTTAAAATGGCATTTTTTTGAACTACTGTAAAGTAAACTGTTGAATTGTTTAAGGTATTGACCCAGACATTATAGTATATTTGTGATTTTGTTGTAAAAACGTGTTTATTTATAGCCACTGACTGGGGAGCTCCAGTAAGCACATATGCATCTACAAAGTGGATTGCTGCATTCACGCGCTATCGTAAATGTCATTATTCCCTCTTCTAAAGTCGTGATTGCAAGCTCGTTAATGTGCAATTTTTAACTAGGAAACTTATGTACGTTAATTCAGATGGCTTGTGACTTTTATATGTTCTAAATCATATACATAGTTAAAGACATTTACTAAATGTTTATGTAATATCTGACAGAAACATCTTCGACAAGTAATGCAGAAGAGAACATCCCAACATGAAATAAACATCAGGGATGTGTGTGTGCTATTAGCTATGCAGTAGAATTCACTGTTGTCAACACTGCTAATGTAAATAATTATGTCATGTAAATAAAAACATACTATTTTAACGTTTCAAGTAATTAAAGTTATCAATAAGCTATCAAATGTATTTGTCTATTAGTACTGTTGATAAATTGAGTAGCAAATGTTTTTGGATAAAACACTGCCTCAACATTTAAATGTACACTCTAAAAGAAATGGTGCTAAATAGCACTAAAAGTGGTTCGCTGGCTCGTAATCATAGGGGAACCATTATAATGCTATATAGCACCTCAACCAACCCAAAGAACCACTGAAGGACCTTTTTCCTGTGTGTAGTGTTGAAAACATAAATCACAGAGGTAACTTGTAACAATCTTGTTTGAATGTTACAGGGACAGATGAGCACACACGTGTGCTTATCCGGTGGAGAGTGGCTAATGAGGCTCTCTTCACCGGAAAACTAAATGCAGCCATCAAAGGCTTTGAGTGAGTATACTGCAGAAACCAATAAAAACTCATGTCATATGCTGTTAACTAATGTTATTTCAAACAGAGATATTACAGCACTTTTCTGATTCTTGATTTGTGAGCAGAGCTTTTGTGATGGAGCAGGGCCTGCAAGACAGGGTGACGGCGGCCTTTGTAAAAAAAATAATAAAATAAAAAAAATTGGGTAAACCTGAAAAAATATATAAAGTAAGATCATGCTGTTATTTCTAATACAGAAATCAATTGACATTGTGCTGTTAAAATTACTGCTTTTGTTTTGTTTGTGCAATTTTGTAGGATCTCAAATGTCCGGCAACCGGTGTGAGCACTGAGGATGGAGAGCCCACAGCAGCATCTTGGAAGTGGTACAGGGCCATGGATGAGGCAATTGGGGGCAGACCCTCCATCGCTCCACCTGCCCTTATTGCCTCATCTGGCCCGGATGATGCTGTGGCCTCTACATCCTCAGCGAGCCCAACCCCAGACACACCAAGGGCATCAAGGAAAAGAACCCAGAAATCTACTGAGAATCTGATCAGGGAGATGGAGGAGAGGGAATTGGCAAGAGAGCAGGAAGCAGTCGAAAGGGAGGAGAAAAGATGGAGAGAAATGGAGAAGAAGGAGGAGAGATGAGAACGAGACAGACAAGAGCGGGAGGAGAGACGACATGCTGAGGACAGAGAAAGAGAAGAAAGGTGGCGCCGGGAAGCAAGTCAAAGGGAGGAAAGATTACTTCACCTCCTTGAATCAATTGCAAAAAAATAAGTCCATAAATAAATTATGTATATGTATATTTAAACGTGTATTTTTGTGAAGAACAAACATATTTTGAATGAGAATTTAATTTCACACACACACACACACACATCAGGGTAGGAAATGAACTCTGCTGGACAATGACCCTTCATAACCTATGTTGAGACTGTTTGCACAAACCACCTTAAGTTTTGCATTAACTACACATAGTAACAGTGATTAAAGTTCACCCAATCATACACTATAAACTCATTATTTACTCATTATTAAAGTCATTATTTACTCAACGTCATGGTGTTCGATCCCTCTAGTTTTATTTCTGAACATAAATGGTGATTTTGGTGAAGTATATTCTGCTGGTTTCTGATCATACAATATTGGCCAATAAAGCCTGACTTTTAGAAGCCTCAAAAGCATCAACAAATAGTGTAATGAACAAAAACAGAGAGATCAAATTACATGAAAGTGAGTAAATAATGACTGAATTTATATGTTTGAGTGAACTAACCTCTCAAATAAAAACTGTATGAAATTTATATAAGCCTGTAGTAGTACCCTGAAGAAATAAACTAAGACGACAGAGACACTTTCAAAAAAGGATTTACTAAGAAATACAAATCACATTTATTTTTATTAATGTATTTAGTAGACATTTTTATCCAAAGTGTCTTAACCTGTTTTAATCTTTCACAGGTAGTCGTGATCATGGAGAGCAGGCACACGAATGTTTGGAGTGGACACAGCAGCAGCCAGATTGTCCTGCACATGTTCTCCCCCTCTTGGTTCAAGGTTGTGGGGTTCAGGGGGGCCGTCATCATGGTCTTCTTCCACTGGCTCAACGATGTCCCCATTGAGAAGAGCGAGATTGTGAAGCACAGCGCAGCATGCAACAACCTCAGGCACAAAGACAGGGCTCACCTCCAAGGCCTTGAAGAAAAGGGAGTGTCAGTGTGTTTTCATCATGCCAAAGGCTCGCTCTACTATGCTTCGTGCGTGGGAGTGCTTGCTGTTGAAACGAGCCTGCACAGGGCAATGAGGCAGATGGGTGCACTCAGGCAAGAATAGCCACCATCCCCGAGGATGCACTTTCCTGCAGGTGGATATAAGCTACCGGCATATATAGGGCTGTTAACTTCCTCAGTACCCTAGAATCCTGCACAGACCTCGGATATAAACATCAAGGAATTTCCCCTGGTGATCAGTGATGGCCTGGAGTTGGATGGAATGAAACCGTTTCCTGTTATAGTAACAGTGGGAGTTATTTACTGGAGGTTTAATTCGGATATGACACCCGTCTATTGCACCGACTGCTCGACTGAAAGCTGGTGACCCAGCTAGATGTGCAAATCCTGCTCCCACTGCCTCCAGTTCATCACCGGTTGGAAAAGAAATCACCCTCCTCAAAATTCCTATGACTGCCTTGCTCACTTTGTGCACAATCCCATGCACAGAGGATATGGACATATCAAAGGTCTGTGACACGACCCTGTAGGATGCTGCATGTGCAAGCCAGTGGAGGAACACGAGGACATCGATGTCCTTTTCCCATCCATGGTCAGATTCCAATCTGACTGCTGCAATGAGAGACCCGATTGATGGCAAAGACAGGCGATGGTGGGCACGGTGGTCAGCTGCTTGGTCCAAATAAAACCGCAGAATCGGCACAGCTGTGTTGACATGGCAGTAGGATGCGGCGTTTACCGCCTGTAAATATGTGCGAGTTTATTAGAACATTAAATTCAAATAAAGCTTTGTTTCATGTGTTGTTGACTTTTATATGTATACAGTATACAATGTGATGGTTAATTTAATTCATTCACTCATTTTTATTGTTTCCTAATGTCAGTAAATAAAGCAATTGTTTCATTACTTCATGAATTAATTCATTGCTTGATTGAAAATTCATGTTCACATCGGCTCCATTTGTCTTGTGTTTTCATGCATGTCATATGAAAACAATTAAATTAGGCTTTTTTAATGAAATTATACAATTTTCAGTAAGAAAATATGTAGTACAATTATGCATAGGTCTGCATCTGTTATTATCATTGTGTGAAAGTGTTGGGGTGGGCTAGCAATGCAGTTCATTCTGGGGTCATCTTAATTTTTAAGTAGCGACACTTAAATTTTTTGAGTATAAAATCAACAATCTTTTCCTAAGGCAAGATCTGCGAGCAGCTGCCCGATGTCTCCTTTGTAATACAATTCCCAACATTCCAAACGCTAAGAAAAAACGCACTAGGCAGGGTAAGCAATTTACTGTTGTGATCAGGTGGTAGTGCACACCTGTCACCTCAAGTAATTATTGAACTTGTTTTAACGTCGGAGGTCACATGGTCACATCAACAATAAGGGACCACGATCCATGCTACGTACTCTGGTACAATAGGTCGCGGTATACATCTCATAAATCATGATTGTAAACCGCCATAAAAATTAAAAGAAGAAGAAGATTACATCAACATGGCGGATCGCATTCATATCCAAGCCAAAGCAGTACCTACTCTTTTAGCGCCCGGTGAGTAAGTACTTATTGAAACTGAGTACCTACTCAGAGAGTATGTGGTTTCAAATGCAGCCATCATCCACTACCACCCAGCTCTAACCATGTAGCAATCCATTCCCTGGCTAATGCACTGACTGGTTAAAAGATTCTGACTGTGACATGATTTTCAGCAGATGGCAGTTACACTGCATTTGTGCAGCAGTGCATGGAGGAGCTGCAGGGTCTTGGATAATGGCTGATGGCGAGTGCCAAACACTGCTAGTCTGGCACAGACGAGGTGCCGGTGTGATCTCAATCATAGCACAGGAAAGCTGGCTCTGACTAGACAAGCACAGATGCCTGTAAGCACTGATCTGATGTCACATCAAACTGAAGCTCTTACAGCTGGCCTCTGCATCCATGTGGAGCTCATTTCAGGCATTAACTCCACTGCATAACACCTCCATCATATACAGGAAAGGCTTTAGGTAATGTATCTCTAAACAAGGTTTATGTTGCCTCCATCAACTCCTGTGTGACATGCCAAATAAAACCTGCTTGCTAAGTTAAAACGTGAAGTGTTAAAAGGTTAAAGTACCTTCTTGATATGCAGAGACAATTATGTGCCATCTGTATGTTGATTTCCCTGCAAAGTGTAAACACTGGCTTTGTGGAAAGCCTTGCTTTGTTTGTTTTGATAATCCTGACCAGCCTGATATAGCAACTTCAGCCAATGGGGTGAGTTTGGGGCGGGGCTTTCTGTTTGTCTAACCAATAGCAGAGGGAAGGAGTATTCAGGAAACATGTTTGTCCTTGCATGGCAAAAGTGTAACAGGAGTACAGACAGATATTTTAGATTCTAATATCATTCAGAGAAATATATTTGAAGTTGAATCTAATACATCCAACTTTACGTAACTTTATTTACGTATAACTATATCTACTAAATAGCAAATCAAAATTTGCCATATATTTTAACTACATCACACAGCACTATATACTGTATAAAGTTGGATTAATAAATATAATCAGTTTTATGTGCATATACCAGTGGCGGGCAGTGCATTTTACACCTAGGCCTTCAGTGGCGTCCTACATGAATTAATCCATCTCTTCATACCATCATAATGATGCCATGGCTATAGAAACCATAAATATAACACAGTAATGCAGTATAACAGGGCACTACG